GATTCGAACCCAGGACCTGCAGATTGCAAGTCAAGCGTTAGACCACTGAGATATTATACTAAACCGATATATAAACACATCTAAACACTCACGTATATTCGTCCGGTGGCGACGACGACGATATTGAGTGAGCGACGGGCCGCGTCCGCGAAATGATACCAGTACCACTCATCCTGATGAAGGGCCCCCGATGGGCTCGAAACTAGTCGGTGCCGCCACCGGACGTATATACGTGAGTGTTTAGCCGTGTTTATATATCAGTTTAATATATAAAACGTATTAAAATTGTAAAGGCACTGGAAACATTAACTATTACAACCAAGGTAGTCAATTAATTTATTTCTAATTGAGAAATCGACAAGTTTTAACCATTAGCCGTATAATTGTTGAGGACGGTTCAACCGCTGTATCACAATACCACTATTAACCTTTCTATTTTAAATATTCCGTGAAACTTTATACAAATATACGTAAAATTTTATTGCCACTTAATACTCGGATATTGTAAAACGGCTTTAATTGCTTTTGAGGTAATAGAATTTCATGTTACAACCTTTGTCGTATTAACTATTTTGTTTTATGGTTTTATTATATTGTCTTTGCTCTTATGCGTAAAAAGGTTGTCGCTTAAAATATCGTAATGAACATAGTTTCCTTATGGGTTTTATAAAGGGATATTATACAGTATTGTTTTAGTATTTATCTTAGTAATATTGTAAATGCGATAGTTTAGATGGATGGATGTTTGTCAGTCGGTATCTCTAGAATTGATCAACGGATCTCGATTAAATTTGGAAAAACCCATACGTAAGTAGCTAAGTTATTTTTTATTTCCGCACGAACGGTGTCGCGGGCAAAAGCTAGTTTCTGATAACATGGAAATAACAATTCAATAAGACAATGGACATATCGCGAAAATCATTTCTTAAAATGAAAACATGTTACACTTCATAGTAGAATAATATTAATTTTGAACGATTTTCAAAGCGCAGTATTTTAATAATGTTCTCGTGCTGAATATTTCAGTGCAAAATCTTTTGTGGTCTCCAAACATCCTGTGTAAACGTGCTTTTACCTTTGTCGACTAAGTGGGAGATGAAATCTGAGTGCCGGTTCAATATCTTCTCCCTCTGGATTTCAACGATCGTAGACTCGAAGAGGATATTTTTCATTTCTGTTTAAATATTAAAATTATTTATAGCCTTTGCTTGCGACTTCGTCTGCGCAGAATTAAAAAAAAATCTTGTTATAAATCTAGCCTATGTAATGGAGTAATAATGTGGTTTTTTAATTTCAAAAGAATTATTAAAATCGGTACAATAGTTTTTGAGTTAATTCGATATATACAAAAATTAAAAAAAAAAACATTTTTATAAAATTTGTTATGATGTCACTGGATGGTTGGATGTTTGTTAGAAGGTATCTCCAGAACGGCTCCACGGATCTCGGTGAAATTCGGCTTATATGTAGAACATTGCCTGGAAGAACACAAAAGCTTGACAGGGGTAGAGCCCGCTTTAAAATCTTCGCACGAATTGGCCCGGCTCGCCCGGTGAAATACCACGACCACACAGAAGACAGGCGTGAAGTGGATGCAATTCCGCGTTTCGTCTGATGAGTGTGCGTCCCGGAGGCCTAATTTAGTCCTCTTTCCCTTCTCACCCTTTTTCTTATAAGGAAAAGATGGGAAGTGGAAGTCGACTTTCCGGATGAGAGGATGCATGGAAAGGGAAAATATTTCTTTCTGTGCATCCTCTCCTCCGTCGATTAAAGGTAGGCAATGCATATGCAATTGCGTATGTCTATGGGCAACGATCACTTCGCTATTTTAGCGGTTTCAGGTGGCCGCTCGCTCGTTTGCCACCTTATGATATAAAAAAAAAAAAACATTATCCCGCACTGACGATGTCAGGAACGATAGCTAGTCGACATATAATTTTAATATTATCATATACATATGGACTTATTCTAAAATGTATTAAATTTTATAACATCATGTTTGAGGTGTACATAATTTAACAAAGTCCATTGGCCGGTTTGTTTGTCACATTTCCGTTGAGCTAAAATGTTAAACAAGTCATAAATATATTAGCTGTGCGCTCCTCCACTCAATTTGCGCAAACATCTGAGCCCCACTGCAACCTAATACTTTGTACTTTCGATGTCCACTTGGTAAAACTTGCTTGTTGAGGAAAAAGAGCTTAAAATTCTTTCACTGGTAAAATTTATGCTATAACAAATTTAATAGGGTCGTGCTATTGCTTGGAACTATCCAAGAATTGCTCAAAAAAGTATCCGCAAAAAACTCAAAATCTTCAAATATGCTTAAAATTATTTATAAACAAGGCTATCAAAGTCACTGTTACAGTTTAGTATTAGTAAAATTATATTTTGTATGTTGTTGGTTTGTTATTTCTATAAATATGTCTAGAAGATATATATAAACATATTAATATATTTCTCAGACCGCACATTTACATGTTTAATAAAAATACTTGTGGAAGGATATGAGAAACGTTAATACCTGAGCGAGAAAAAATATTTTCCTCACATAGAGATGTGATGAAAAAAATAAATTACAATTTTGACGTTGTAGAAGAACTAAGGTATCGTTACTTGAAAAAATGTTGAATAAAAATTGGGATCCCAAAAAATATATTATCTTGAAAATAAAAATATTGCAGTTGCCTGTGACTTCGTCTACGTGGAATTAAAATTAGCCTATTCATTCAGGCTGAAATCTTTCTTTGTTTTAAAACACAGATAAGTCCAGCTGTTGGGCGTGTCAACAAATATCGATATATCTATCGATCCCAACTTTCCCATTTATAATATTAGACAGATGAGATAAGATTTTGACAATTCGTTGACAAATGAGGCGACCCCAAAAACCCGGATGACTTCAATGTCTTTATCAAAGTTTGGATAAAATATCATAAGTGACGACTATGATCACTACTTAGACCTCATGTGAGGTTATCATTGTTCATAGTAACGTTCTGATAAAATCAATTGTTTCTCTTTTGTGTTTTAATGAATTTATAATAAACAAAGACGAAGCCACTAAAACTAAATAACTGTGAAAGCAAACATCATTGTGATAAGATGGTATGCATATTAGATTTTACACTTGAATGGATAGCTTCTGAATTAATAAATAATTAAGTATAAGAGTACCTCATGCTATGTACACATTTTACGCAATTTAATTCGTTTCTGATTTTTTGTACTTCATTTAGTTTACAACTAAAGATTATCTTTTGCAAATTCTCATCTCATCAGATTTGATGAAAAATTGTTTATTTATTATAAACATATCAATATTTTTGTATTAGTGTTCTTGGCTAATATATCAAGAGTATTTTCGTTTGGCGTATTCAAACCAGCAAGCTTTATAGCCAATGTGGGCTAAGTGCAATAAGTAGTAGAGAACGGGGAGTACTGAGTGCAAGTCTCGTAAATTATACCGGAAAGAGCTGCCGATACAAAAGTAACGCGATACATAAATCGAGCCGAGGAAGTAGAGGGCGTTAGGGAATTATTGTGTTCGATAGCTGTTACTGGATGTGACACTGGTGTAATACAAGTCTTACCGTGAATCTTGACTGTCGTAACATCTGCGCTATGCAAAATTTGCCACCTCTCTCATTCTATTTGAAAAAAAAAACAGAGATAGCAGTTTATAGGAATCATGGCATTTGCGATTCATTGTTATGTTTAGAAGCAACGAAGATATTATTTATGTTGGTATTCTTGACACATCGCGTGTGTTTCATATTCATAAACTTCCTTAGAGATGTTGCTATTTTCTTACCAATATCAATTTTACGTTTTGTTGATAAAAAGAGTACGATATGCAGCTTATGTACGGAATCTAGTTTTAATGTTATCGGGTTGTTTCGTTTATAAGTTTCATAAAAAGAAGCACAAGGATAGAATATTTGGCACATCTAGTGAAACTAACTCTACAATAAGAAACACCCCGGGATAAACAGCTAATTCCATTATGAGAATGGGCCGTGGCAGGGAGCTTGTGGACAGGGTCGTTGGGGCGCGGACGTAATTACACAGTTCTTAGGCCGGGACGTGATTACAGCGAGACGGTAATCCAAGGTGGCCCTACTAAACCGAACGGGTTGCCCACATCTGTCACATAATCAAGTTTACTCCGAAAATTGGATTGGATTTGTCAGATTTTTGACACATGCCTGGGATCAGGATTGGCTATTAGTTCACGATGTTTATGATAGGGAATTCATTAAGGTTTCTTTGTATTCAATTGACTAAAACGGGTATGAAGATTAGATAACAGTAAAATTTGCATGACTAAATGAAAAAAAGTGTTTAAAACGGAAGACTCTAGGCAAAGAAATAACAGGTAGGTTTTCTGTCCATATTATGTGCGCGGAGCCAATTGACGAAGTTGCAGAGATGCATCACTAGCCGGCAGCAGTTAGTGTGTTATAAGAAGGCGGAATAAAATTAATTAGGCGGGATCGTGCAGTAGCACTCAGCTCGCGAGGCGTCTAGCTAATTTAGAGCTGTGGAATTCGCCTAATAAGTCCGCCCGTTCAAGGCGAGGCGGTGTTTGCGTTAAATTATAAAGCTTATTAAGCATTGTTCCCCCGTGTGTCGTAAGCAGCCGCAATGAAATGTTTCTTACCCGTACTTCATCCGGCTTCAGTCCCCTCCCCCGCGGCACTTCGTCCCGCTACTCTCGCTCCCGGTTGAATTATTTACGTAACACAGTATAAACAAGCCAAGAGAGAGAGTCAAGCCACTGGCGTCTTTAATTAATTCTATCAAGTCAGGTGTAAAAAGAATTTCAAATGAACTTGTAGCGTTTTATGAAAAAGATTTTGTATTCTTCAGCGCTATTCGTTGGACTCAAAGATCTATGCAATCTTTAGAACAAAGACCCGAGATTTAATTGAAAAAAAAAACAAAGCAAAAAATGAAGAACCTCCTTTCAACTTTCTGTGTAAGTTGAAATGTCATTTACGAATAATGTACCTGAATTTGTCAGAACTGTTATTATAATCTATAACAAACATTATTTTTACATATAAAAATAAAATTTGAATTGTAATATTTAAATCACTGCTCGAGAAATGAATAATGAAAGTTCAAGTGACATTAGTTCTGAAGATATTAGCAAGGCAGTGCAGACTTTGGCTTCTGAGGACAATGATGCTTCAGTTCAAACTCCTTCAAATGTCAATAATGTTGTGCTCCTGAATGTGCAATCAGCTGACGATGTGCGGTATGAGGACATAATTAATATTTCAATACCGTTACTTTGTATAATGCAAATGCAAAATTTGCAATGCCATAATTACTTAATATTTTTAAATATTTTAGGACAACAGTATTACCTAATTTGGCGGTCGTAACATCAAATCAAAAGGATTCATGCGATATAAGCAATGGAGATTTCCTATCGTTGGAACGAAATACAATGCAAAATGTAAGGTCGATGTCGAACCAGCCACATACGAGTAACCGATCAAGTTTTCGACCGAGGGCTAAGAGAAGAGGTGATCCGACGCATCATTCGGAGCCTAAAAGGAAGTCTCGTAAGGCAATAATTAAGAACATATATTACGGGAAGCTTCGAAATTTGGTGAAACCATCAAGTGAAACATGAAGTTTTTTATCTGACTGATTTTGTATGGAATTTTTTTGTAATATTAACTTTAGTCTCTTTTATTTCATACTTCGGTTTTATTACTTAATGATATTAAATTAGAAAGATTAATGATATTAAGATAGAAGAGATTTTCAAAACTCAGTGATTATGATTTTTATCTAGGTAAATGAATTTATCTAATCTTGCAACGATTGCATTTCTAATACCCGTTGATTCAGTATCATTGGACGCAAACTCGACTCACCAGTATCGGTTAGCGGATCGTATCGTATCGGAAATTGAATTTCCGATCGGGCCCGAAGCGGACTGTGGGCGACTAGATGTTCCGCGATCTGTGGGGTCCTAGTTACTAGAGCTGTTTAGATTATTTTTTTAATAAATTGTTTTTATATTAAAGTCTTGAGATATAAATTAGTTGCAGAATTACGATTTGACGAATTACTATCCTAAGCTATTACAACCTTCAAGACGCACTTGCGGATTTTCCAGCACTGGAAATGTTTTTACGAATAAAGTTTGATCATAGGGTATTTAAACTTGGATTTCTTATACACTGTCTTCTAAAGATTGATAACTTGAAAACGCAAAGAAATCTTTATATTAAAACATAAGCGAGTTAAATTTAAATTCAATAATGAAACGAAAAACAAAGTTTGCAGCTAAAAATTCTGGTCTCCAGTAGCAAGCGCCCTTCAATGGCGGCGCTCGCACGTATTGTTTCAACATGTTTAGACGGCTAATGTAATGTGCAGTTTGAGAAATTGGGTTTGAAACGCGATCAGGCCAGACGGGGGTTCCCGTATTAGTGATGACGTGAGAAAACGTCGAGAAAGAGAAATTTTCAGTGTTGTTTTACTTAATTTCGTCGAACGTGTACAAACATGTTGAGTGCTGCTTAAGTTGTTTATTTTCTAGCAAACTTTCAGCGATAGGTTTTAGGTGTTTTGTTGGGAACTTCTGCTTAACAGTTTTTTATTTCTTTAATTGAATAAAAAAATGTTTCAAGGTTTTATTCAGACACTGGCGAAAAACTGGTGATATCTTCTGATCATGTAAAAGTAATTGTATTTGCTGGTGCTTTCTTAATTAAATTATAACTCAAACAATCAGAGTTAATCTACAACATGTAACGTAGTTACAGTCAGAACTGTATGAGTTATAGCATGAACTCGTGTAACAATAAACTATGGTCCCCAACCGATCCCTAAACTACGGCCGGAAACTTTACCAACTTAAATGACGTCACAGGACCCGACTGTCTCGCGGTGGAATGGACAACGCATGTTAATTGTATGTTTTGATTAGTTTAATTAGTTTTAGTACGGCATAACTTAACATGCCCCTGGGATGTATCTTCTAAAAACGAACTGTGTTTAATTACGTAGTGGAAAAGTTAGGACGCATATAAAACCCATAGAGATTCGGTTGATTTGCCTTTAGGTACTGTCAGTATTGCCTTCGGGTTTCGTTCGAATTCTTCGGATTTGTTTGGGACTCGGGCTTCGACATTGATGTCTTCTGATAAAAGTAGACAGTGTAAAAAATCATTGGTTGCAATTTTTTTAGCTGCCAGTATTAGGATCTATGTTTCCTAAACGTTAGCAGACCCTAATCACTGTTGATTTCTAATAAAATCTCATTTTTTTTGACCCTGGTTTATGCTGGTATTCATATCGGGTTTACCCGTTATAATTTTTGTTATAAAATTTTAATATAGCTTTACCTTTTCCCCGTTACCTCGATGTTAAACGTCATTAATCATCAGCGGACTACATCCATCAGGAATTCGTTTAAATTGATTTTCATTTGACACCGGATAAAAAGTATTACCCTATGAAAGAATGATTCAGCAAAAAATGCGATTAAGTTGGTACAAAACGTTGCAAGCTATTTATTATTGTTTGATATATTAGTTAAATCTAATATGCAAATAACTACTTAATAGACATTTTGGCGTAGCATATTTGACGAGAAATTATTTCAACGTGTCACAGGAAAATGTAATAAATGTTCGTCGTGAGGGATATTCGTTTCAATTTATCCTTGATCAAGGGATGTTTTTAATCAGTATACTGGTATTAAAAACGTTTTAGTTTACCGGGAACCTGTACTCGGATGCACCGGCGCGTAAAGTTCCGAATTCCGTTGGTGGAACCCCGCCCGTCTGACTTGCTACGATGCATTAATTAATTCATTATTAACGCGGAAGCCAACTGGCAGGATCGTGCACCCATGTATGTAGGGTAACCATGATGATAGTATAAAAAAATGACATAGAAATAAATTTTGTTAGATCTCTAAATAGTAAAATTGATACTTTGCTTGTATTAAATAAAAGCTTTTTTTAAGTATATATCGAGTTTCAGAATCTTGAAAAAAATTAATGGTGTTATTTAAAACTTGTGAATGCACTGAAAGTTTTAAAAACAGAGTGTTATTATTGGAAATTATCCTTAAATAAATATTTTGATGGTCACTTTATAAGTGACTACCAGGATTTACATTCGTTTAGCACGCGAGTTAATGGAAAAGTGCTCGTGTAAGTCTGACAGTGACTGTTACAGAGGAGTCGTGTTATACGGCTGTAATTTTGTTCGCTTCACGGTGCTTACTCCCGTATAGTTGCAGATGCAGAGTTAGGTGTAATTGCAATTTTTCAATTAAATTAGTCTGCTTTAAGACTACTTTTGTATACGCTAGATTAACGTATGTAAATATACACTTGATTCTCATTCACTATAAGGTATAGGCAGAGAATATAAGAATCAATTTACGGTAGAAGTTAAATTTTATATTGTTTTTTTTTTTATAAAAATCAAACGGAATTTAGTATTTGAATTCTTATTAGAAATACTTTATTATTCTTAAAGTTTACTGCTGTTTATTAGTCAACGAAAAATCATAAACAAGAAATTATTTTTTTATATTTTTGGCAACGGTTGCGTTAGTCGTTGACCGTTCTTAAAAAGATTATACACAAAGTCAGCTGCCGCCGTAAAACCTTCCATCGTTCTTTATAAAAAGCTCAATACAGCGTAGCCTTTCACAGTATTAAAAATGTTTTAGTGGCCCAAAGACGCCGACAAACTTGCGACTCGGTTCCGTTGTGAAAAAAACCCTAATTTCCTGCACCCTTTCATTTATATCCCGGCAATCTGGGAGCCTTGTAGCTTATTTATAGGGGTCCCGGGCATTTGATGGCCGGGAGACGGAATGCGTAATGATAAAGCTAATAAAAATGATCCTAACGTGCGACTAATTTGTCGCAAGATGCCAGTTCCAATTTAGATAGTACAAGAAGACAACAAAAAGTTCTCTTATGATTAAACTATATAATAAATATGTAAATGTTTTTATCACTATATATAAAATTTTAAAGCATTAACTAATAGTTTTTTTTTTAAACGGGCAATTTACAATAAGGCGATGTCATCAACTCTTTTAAAATGACTCTTTTACGAAAATCAGAAAATGATTTTTTTACAACGACTTAAGACGCATGTGTGAAATTGTCGCTAGTGTGTATTTGCCCAGTATACACTACAAAGCATAAGATCGTGATGTAGGCATTTTACGAGTCACCTCGACAGTTTGACCGTCACTACGGCGTGTTATCATTGTCCGCTTATTTCTTATGCGATTGAGCCGTTCGTTTGATAGTGCCCTTATCCTACGAATTGCTAGTTAAGGCTATTGATAAATGACGATTGTTGGACATTGTTACGTTATAGAGATTTGTCAGGGAATATGAAGATAGAGTTGTAAGAATATGAAATGAACTTTACTCACTACTGCAAATGCGATCGTCCATTTTGGTGTGGAAAAAATCCTATTGACTTTTTCTAGTCAAATCGTTTTCTAGTCAAATAGTGTGTTAATTTCAGTCAAACTTTTATCAATAGCTTCTAAATTACGACAATTATTAAAACACGTTGATTCATGGCACACATTTTTCATTTCTTTGATAATTTAAAGCGACTAATTGAGAAAAAAATCAGGAATACGAATTATACTCAGATTTCGACATTTCTGTTTACATTTTTTTATTAATATATTAGTAAATAGTAACTTAGTAATTTTGAATTTCTTTTCTTATCTTAAATATATAACAAATACAAAAGTTTACATGGATGTATGGATGGATGTTAGAAGGTGTCACCAGAACTGCTAAACATGTAGAAAATAGTCTGGAAAAACACATGGGCAAGTTTTTTTGTATTACAGGCGACAGCAAGTATTTCATTAAATGTTTTTCTTGGCTACTAAACATTAAACCGCATGAATAGATGAAAGGTAATTCACAAAACTATTTATATCACGACCTTTATGGAGCTTTTACTTGTGTCAGGGTCTCAAACACTAAAAGCTTGAAAAGAAATACGAACCATGCAGGGCTCTTGACTTAAAAGCGCCCAACTAAAAATCTCCGAAATAATTTCTTGCTTTGGGCCGATAAATTTTCAAAGCGTTAGCTAAGCTGCCGTATTTACTTCGCTCTGAGCCCGCTGTAATATATTAAGAGGGGATTTTTTTATTAAAATGCTTTTTTTACAAAACTCTTCTTTTACAAACTGTGCCATTACGATGTCCGCAGTGAGTTAAACTTCACATTATTACTCTAAGCGCAAATTAATTACATGTCGCGTTATTTACTTTGAAAATTAATAACAAAAAAAATTATTTATGTTATTTACTTGTTACATATATTAGTTTTATGAAAAACCGCAACTTCGTCCACGCGGAATTAAAAAAAAATCCATACTTCATTACTTAATATTATAAAAGCGAAAGTAACTCTTTCTTTCCTCTTTATATTATTAGTATAGACGAATTGTCGCATTTGTAGACTATGACAGTAACACAGAATCTAAGGGCATTTGTACATGACACAACAAAGATAAGGCTGCGTCACAATGAGCGAGGCGATGGAAGATAACGTCACAGTTCGCCTCTGGAACTTCGTATCTTGTAGTGTCGTGGCTTCGGCGGCTCCAGTTATTGGAAAGGAAGTCAATAGGTAGGAAAGCGAAGTAATGACAGCAAATACCTGTGTAACCACAATAA